TGAAAGATTTGAATTTCCCGCTTTTTATGCTACACTATTTCAGGGAGCGTTGCGCACGGCGTTGCCAAATCACTATAAGTTGTTAAGTGAGCAGGTTAGAAATGGATTGAAATTTATTTTTTAAAATTATTATATCTCGATAACAAAACGGTGAAGTGCTATTTTTATTTTTTTAACTTATTCTAAAAACATTTTTCAACACTCTCCTAATTTTTTTTCCAATTCTGTCGAGAGAATTTTTTAATATAATAAAAAATAGTTGGAGAGATCGGACATTTTACATACTTTAAATGGAACATAACCCTCAGAATCGTCAACTTTGACTTTAAATATCTCGCGATCTAAACGGTTAAAAATTATGAAATTTCAGGAATTTATAAATAAAGCTATTCTGAACCCGTAAAAAAAATTTCAGCCGAATCTGTCGAAAAGTGATTTCATGCTGGAACTACCTTAATACAGAAAATTTGCATATTAGTGAATTGAAAAGTAGACTTGAACTATTTCCACTATTATTTTCATTTAAAAACATATCGAACCCGTCAAAAAATAAATTTTTGTTGTGAAAAACACAATATAGGTATGTTTTTTCAAGAGACTAGATTTCATCACATCTGAATTTTTTATATTTTTATAAATTATGTGAGATACTATGCCTAATTCTGTAGCTAAGACACAAGTAGTACGCACGGTAATTATCGAAATTAAAATAAGAAACTTTGTAAGACACATAAACTGTTTTCTTAGTTGGAACTAATAATTTTTGAGCCAACTCTTTGCTTGCGAGAAATTTTAGCGCTCATGCGCCACCTGTCGGAATTTTTTGAAACTAATTTTCAAAATTTTGTCAATACTTTCTAAAGTTCTGATTTAGTGATTAATTTTGAGTACTAATTTTTGGTGATTTTTAACTTCCCGCTAAAAATCTCAGATTTTCAAAAATCGGGAAGTTATTGTTTTCATCCCGTTTTGCAAAAATCGAGTTTTCATCAGATCTCGACGTTTGAAGGTCACAGGAAGCTTCCTTGACTATTTTTACGATGATGTCCGTACGTCTGTATGTATGTGTGTGTGTGTGTATGTGTATGTAAACCTCTTGTAACTTTTGAGCGGCTTGACCGATTTGATCGCGGTTGGCGCCATTCGAAAGGGCTTGCCCAAACTTAGATTTCCTGAAAATTTGAACCGATTCGGACCGATAGATTTTGAGAAATCGTAAAAAAACTACAAAAAAAATTTTTTCAAAAGTGGTTTTTTTGAAATAACTTTTAAACGGCTCTACCGATTAATTTCAAAATCTAATCAGCTCTTAAAGTCAAAAAACCATGTCGATCGCCGCCAGTCCGGTCAATTGAAAACTAAAAAAATAGTGATTTATCAAACTTTTGAGCTCGAAGAGCTCAAAAGCATACAAAAGCTATTTTTTTGAGCTCGGAGAGCTCAAAATAATACACAAATTGTATTTATGAGCTCGAAGAGCTCTAAAACTTCATAAGTGCAATTTCAAGCGTTTAGGTATAGAATTGGCGGGAAGTTGCAGGGATGGCCTTTAGGGTCAACCGTTTTTTTAATTATTTTCCTAATTCTTACGAGTCCAAAACATGAAAAAATCATATGATCATGATTCTCAAAGAGAAAGCCGATTTTTAACGGAGAAAAGAAAATTATTTTGTTTTTTTTTTAGCCTTCTTGAAATATGTCACTCACCAAATTTCGTCAGAAAATGTCTTTTATACTCCTTTATACTCAGTAATTTTTTTGAATTTTTTGAAGTGGTGGAACAATTCAAAAAAAATTAAAAACTCATTTTTTTCTCAAAATCTTGCGTTTTAACAAGCTTACATTTTTTTTGTAGTTCACACAAATACGTAGAAATTTTTTTTTTTATTTAAAATTATTATTTTGGTTATAATTTTTATTTTTTCTGTATCAAAATTCAAAATATTTTCCAATAGTATAAAAAAATATATACGTATTACCTTCAAGTGTCTTTTGAATCATTAATAACCCTTCTAATCACTTTAACCTACGGATTCTCTAAAAAATTTCTTTGTATCAGTTTTTATCAAATGGCATGGGCCAGACTTGAATAGTAACTGTGGCCCAGTCCTAATAACCAGGCATGGGTCAGACTTGGAAATCAGTATTGACTCAATACTAAAATTCAGTCTTGGCACAATACTTATATTTTCAGTCTTGGCACAAACTTATTTTCAGTCTTGGCACAATATTTATTTTCAGTCTTGGCGCAATACTTATTCTCAGTCTTGGCACAATGCTTATTTTCAGTCTTGGCACAGTACTGATATTCAATCTTGGCAGGAAATTATTATTTGTATGCATAGACGGACTTGGGCCAAGCCTGGATTTAAAGCTTGCCCCAGAGTTAATGAGCATTGCACCAAGCCTTGGCCAAGTTCAGGCCAATTGTTCTTTCCTCTAAAGGTAACCGATTTTGATCGGATTTGCGGCAATCGACGTGGTTTTTCAAGGTTAAGAGCTGATTAGATTTTGGAGTTGATCGATAGAGTCGTTTAAAAGTTATCCAAAAAAACGACTTTCAAAAAAAAATTTTTTTCTTAGTTTTTTTGAAATTTCGCCCGAGTAAAAACAGAATTTAGCCGCATCACCGCCGAAACACTGCTGCACGGCATTTTAATCGACGAAGCACCGCCGCACTATGACTGTGACCATTTGAATTTTTGGATGGTCGCCGAAGCATCGCCGCACCATAGCCGCGACTGTTCAAGTAAAAGTGGGTTTTCTGCACTACCGCCGATACACCGCTGCACGGCATTTTAATCGCCGAAGTGCCGCCGAAGCACCGCCGCACTATGAATGTGACCATTTGAATTTTTTTATGGCTGCCGAAGCATCGCCGCACCACCGCCGCACCGCAGCTGTGACGAATTAAAAATTGTCAACTTTTAATCAATTTTGTTCGACCGCCGAACCACCGTCGAACGACCGCCGTTTGGTGGTATACATTGAAATAAGATATTTGTTGATCATTCAAATAGCTGAACCAAATTCTCTCAGTTAACTACGACTTGCACGCCCAAAATAATTTTTTATTTTGCACGTCTCATAGCGCGAAGCGCGTAAGGTTGTGCTTTATACTCGACTCGTCAAGTTCAAGCAATTTTGTGATCTTTAAATGCCTCTATCACAATCATATTGCACTTATACAATAATATAAGTAGATTCACACCAAGAAAACTCTTAAATTAAACCATCTTTTACTTTCTAAAATCATATTATATTGCTATTTTCAAAAAAAAAACATTTTGGATGTATCAACGATTACTCCCGAACCAATTGATAATTCGAGACCAGGCCTTTTCTATTAGTTTAAGAATTCGATGAACTGGGGACGTATTTCATATCAGTAGCCTAGTTTACGTATTTTTTTTTAAATTGAATTTTTATTAAAATTCACTTCGATGCACACGTGCAAAAACAAACGAATTTTTCTTATTTGTGTCACGTGAAAACTACGGCCCCACTTGATCAAGCTAGAATTTTTGAGACTGCGTGCGCATATAATAAGAAAAACGGCGCCAATATTTAAAGAAAAATGAAAAAATACTCTGTAAGAAATTACTTAATTATTATTTTTTCATTTTTTCTTTTTTTTTTTTAATCAATTACACAACCCTGATAAAAAAAAAGTATTGAGACAAAGAAAAAAATATTGAAAAGTATTGGTCTTCTAGTCAATCCAATACTTTTCAATACTTTTTCCTTTATTTCAATACTTTTTTTTATTCAGAGAATTTATCTTTTTCGTGAAAAAAGAATGAGCGTTGTGAGGCGTGCACTTTTGGATTTTCCAAATTTTTCTTATAGTTTGTTTTTTTCACTATCTTAAAATCAAATTAATTTTTTTTTGTTACAATTGGGATATTTTTGACGGTGATTTTTAACCACACTGAAAAAAAAAATTTTTTCCTCCTAGAAAACTTTTCCCTGTGGTTAAAAAAAAAGTATTCCTAAAATAAGAATACCAAAGTTTACTATCCATAGGAATAAGTTTACTGGATATAAAAAAACTTGGTATTCTCATTATTAAAATACTACAATCAATATGGCCGACTTAACCTCGCTTGGTCGACACGAATCTTTAGGATAGATAATTATGAGAAACTATACTTTTTATAATTCTTCATTTATAAACAATCTATCACACTAAAATTAATAAAAATGAAAAATAGTATATTAAGCCTTTCTTTTCTTATTTTTAATTCTCATTGTTGTCAAAAAATTGCAATTTCCTGCTAATAGCATTATTTTACTAATTTACTAATAACAATAACAATAAATTTTTATATTTGATCAAGATTTTTAGATACTTTAGGGAAGCAAGTAAAGAATTCGAGATTCAAGAAAAAAAATTCTTGAAGCGTGACAACCGGTTGTCTCCATACTAATAAGATCCTTGGAAAGATTTATACTCTTCAATCAAGAAACTCTTCAATTGCTAAATCAATTTGAATAGTTACACTGAAAAAAAAGTTTTTTTCCTCCTAGAAAACTTTTCCCTGTGGTTAAAAAAAATGTATTCCTAAAATAAGAATACCAAAGTTTACTATCCATAGGAATAAGTTTACTGGATATAAAAAAACTTTGTATTCTCATTATTAAAATACTACAATCAATATGGCCGACTTAATCTCGCTTGGTCGACACGAATCTTTAGGATAGATAATTATGAGAATAAACTATACTTTTTATAATTCTTCATTTATAAACAATTTATCACACTAAAATTAATAAAAATGTAAAATAGTATATTAAGCCTTTCTTTTCTTATTTTTAATTCTTATTGTTGTCAAAAAATTGCAATTTCTTGCTAATAGCATTGTTTTACTAATTTACTAATAATATTACTAAGGTAAAAGACCTAGTTATTGACACTTGCAATTTTATTTGAATTAAAAAAAAAAATCAACTCTGATAATTTTATAAACATTATATTTGAATTATAAATTTTAAGATAATTGGTTTTTTGAGAACATTCTATTTTTTTTAATTAGAATAAAATTGCAAGTGTCAAACGACTAGGCCAGTGAAAATAACTGGGTTTTCTACCTTATTATAAAAATTGATTTATAAAATGATAAATTGATTTGCTAAAATGAGTTATAAATTTGTTGGAGATGATAAATTTCATTCTGACAACTTCTTTTGCATCCAAGAATTCATATAAGTAAGGGAGTAAGGGGAAGTAATATTAATGATTAATACTTTTATTTATAATTTATAAATTATTTAATTTACACAAATAAATATTTAGGTAACTAGACTCAGGCAGGAGGTAAACTAATAACTAAAAAACACGCGTACACTGTAGATTGGAGGGAAATGACAAAATAGTGGCGCCACCGTCACGGTTACTACGGTAACAGAATTTAGTTTTAGTCCTGTTAAAAAACTTGGTATTCTCAGATTTAAAATACCAGTTTTCTTAAATCTAAAATATTTAACTTGACTTTTACTTCGTACAAGAAAATTCGACTAAAAAATATTCAGTATTCCGGGTATAAAAAAAATTTTTTTTCAGTGCACTTGCAATAAGTATTGAAATCAGTTTTCCACGCTTTTCATTCGAATCGTGCCATATAACATAAGTTTTTTTCAATAAATTTGAGAAGTAAAAACGAGAAAAATCACGAAAAATATGTTGTTTTATGTTTTTAAGCCATTTTTTTGTAAAAAAAGTATGAAAAATTGTGAAAGTCATCATATATTATTTTAGTTTAAACTTTAACTGCGAATAACTTTTAACTGAGTTTACTTAGCAAAAAATTATTTCAAACCTTTTTTGTAGGCCGTTTAATTTCCTTCAAGAATATTAATTTCGTTTTACTACACAATAATTCGTTGAAAGACATTAAAATTCCAAAAAAAAGAAAAAAAAATTCTCGTGTAATTTAAATGGGAAATCAAAAATCACGATTTGACACTTCTAAATATTAATATGAAGAGCTCAAACTTTACCAGAATTTATTTTTTCATCATCTTAGACAATATTTTCGTAGTAGCTAAAGAAAAAAAATTAAACGTTTTTATTGGCCCACCTTAATATATATATATATATATATATATATATATATATAAACTTTTGAACGAACTACATTCTCAGACTCAGCTCGACAAACTGAGTCAGAAAATGGCTAAATTTTTTAAAAGTTGCGCCATGATGATGGCTGCAATAGTTAGATTTTTATAAAATCTACTAAAAATGATATTTTACAACTTTTATATTATCGTTATTTATTGTTTTCAGGCAATTTACGACATGCTGGGAGCATGCTCAAGTAACAGACCGGCAGATAGTGCAGAAGAAAGAGCCAAAAATATATTTGCAAAAATGGATGAAAACAACGACGGTCAATTGACACAAGATGAGTTCTTGAAAGGGTGCCTGCAAGACGAAGAGCTGTCGAAGATGTTGGCTCCATAATTTCAACACATCTTAGACAGCTAATATTTGACATTTTACATCAGACTTTTATCAACTATTCAGTGATCATATTAACTGCTCTAATGGACAAAACATAACTCTCGATGTTGCATGCACATTTCTTTAGCACATTGTTCTCGTGTAGTGAAGCAATTCAAATTGATCAATACGAAAAATTTCACAGACTTGTGTTGACCCAGTTATTCGTATTAACGATATGCGATAATGTATCATTCATACGTGATATATTGGGTTAGATTTAATATGCTCTCAAAAATTTTAAACCATTTAATTTCTGTCACACGACATTCAACTTTACCGATATTCAATTTAATACAACTAAACTTTTGAAACGTTTACTGCACTGACAGTATTACTATCCATTTACTGCTTTTCGTGATCCTTATGGAATAAATGATCATTCAATTGATTTATCATTAATAACACAATCATTTATTGCATAACTATCTCTATAGTGGTGTCGTTATCAAACCAGGAATTTGGATTTATTAAAAATATGTTTGATGCAAGTTATGATAAATTATTCAAAGTATTATAATTTAATCCATTGTTAACGGTTTTGTTTTACTATGCTGCTGTCAGATGCATGCTTACAAAATTTTAAATAACGTTGGTTTTTCTGGCTTTTATGTATTATGTGTAGTTTTATATTCTGTTATAATTAGATAGATAATTGAAAATATTTTATGTAGCAAAAAGCGCTCATGAACAATTACAAATACTTGGAATGAGCTTTTATTAAATTTTTTATACAAAATAAATCAAAGAGAATTTTGCACTTTTATCGTACAAAAATGTCATATTATTACAAATGATAAAATAAAATTTTAAATGCATGTTAAAAAAAAGAAAATAATTAAATGACTACTCGCACGAAAAATAATAGTCAAAAAAGTTTTAAACCGGTAATTCTATTCAGAACAAGCTAATGTATTTCAGTAGTACTATCAACAAATAATGCCTTTCATGCGCTTGGGTTATAGAATTTCTTCTGAAATGATATTATAAAAAATGGTGAAATCATTTTTATCTTTTACTTCTCTTTCTAATCACAATGACTTGTAAGCTAATTTAAATGTTATCGATTCAAGATCTTCGTTAATCAATTTTTACATAGGGTTATGGCACGCCGTTTTAATATTTAATAGTAGAAAAAAAATTATCATAAAATAAAAAAATCTTAAAATACACATTCCATGTCACAGTATAATTAAAATACAAGAGATTCATTTTATCTCAATGAATACATTTTATATACAGAATAATTATTATGGAGTGATGATCCTCTTCTAAAAAGTTGATGGCTGGATGTCGTATCGTTTTACGTCACTTCTGTGACTTTTTTATTCGGTTGTTGATTGGCCGACTGAGATAATGGCGAGAATTTTAAAAGAATGAAGGCGAGCGAAGCAAGCGTGTTATGTCTAGTATAATAAAATATCTATGTATTCCAATTATAAGTTGACGTGATTATAACAAAAAAAATCTGGAAATCGGTTGACCGCGCAGGCCAACCCTAGAACTTCCCGCTAAGTTTGAATTTGAAGTACCTTTAAATGTGTTTGTTGGTTAATATTTGAGCTTTTCAAGCTCAAAGCACAGTTTTTCATATTTTGAGCTCTTTGAGCTCCAAATGTATTTATTAAACAACTATAACTTTTGGATGCGTCGTTCGATTTTGTTTTTGAACAAGCATTCGATGCATTTTTTAAAGCACAAAAAGAAAATGTACAGGTTTTTATTGATCGGTTGAGGAAATTGGAAAATATCTTAAAATAATACCGAAAAAAAAAATTTTGTGAATTTTTAAACAACTATAACTTTTAAATGCGTCGTTCGATTTTCATTTTAAAAAAAGCATTCGACGCAGTTTTTAAGCAAAAAAAATGTATACATGGTTTCATTATGATTTTTGCGTACGCTTTAAAGTTATTTTTAAAAAACACAAAAATTCAAATTTTATTTTTGTTTTTTTAACTTCCCGTTAAGAAAATCAATGATTTTCGAAAAATCGGAAAGTTATTAGTTTTACCCCGTTTTGCAAAAATCAAGGTATCAACAGATCTCGACGTTTTGAAGCCTTGAGAAGCTTTCCTGACTATTTTTACGATGATGTCCGTACGTGTGTGTGTGTGTGTGTGTGTGTGTGTGTGTGTGTGTGTGTGTGTGTGTGTGTGTGTGTGTGTGTGTGTGTGTGTGTGTGTGTGTGTGTGTGTGTAAACCTCTTATAACTTCTGAAGGGCTTGACCGATTTGATCGCAGTTGGTGTCATTCAAAAGATCTTCGCCAAACTTAGATTTCCTGTATGATGGAACCGATTTGGACCAGTAGATTTCAAGAAATTGCAAAAAAAGTGAAAAAAAAAAGTTGTTTTTCTTCCATTATTTTAAAATATCTCCGAATTGACTGAACTGATCGACCTCAAAAACTAATCAGCTCTTAACCTTGAAAACCCGCATCAATCACCATCAAAAGCGTCAGAATCGGTTGATGCGTTCGTGAGATATCGTTGTCGAAAATAATCGAAAAAAGTTTTTTTTTGTAATAACTCGGAAATGTTTCATCAGATCATTTTTTTTGATCCGAGTTATTTATAGAGCTCAAAAAACTACATCGATTACCGCCAACCGCGTGAAAATCGGTTGATTCATTCAAAAGTTATAGCAGTTTGAAAATTCAAAAAATCGTGTTTCATCGAACTTTGATAAGATTTTTGAGCTCGAGGAGCTCAAAAACATAGGAAAGCTATCTCTCTGAGCTCTTTGAGCTCAAAATAACACACAAATTGTATTTTTGAGCTCGAAGAGCTCAAAAACGTCATAAGTGTAATTTTAAGCGCCTAGGTATGGAATTAGCGGGAAGTTGCAGGGATGGCCATCAAGGTCAACCGTTTTCCTAATTTCTTCGCAATGGCTCGATGGATTAACTCTCAAATCTAATCAGATCCTTAGCAATGTCCTTGGAATTACCGACTAAAACATACTTTAAAACAGGAATGAGAAGTTTTTAACCCGATAATTTCAGTCCAAAAGAAGTTACACGCTAATCTCGTTCAAGAATTACAATTTCTTTGAAAATAAAGGTTTACTTTTTTAATTTTTTTCGATAAAAATGTAGATGCTAAGCAATGTACCTAAAATTATAGAGAAAAAAATTAGGAAAACAGTTGACCCTAAAGGCCATCTCTGTAACTTCCCTCTAATTCCATACTTAAGCGCTCAAAATTTTACTTTATTAAATTGTTTAATAGCTCTGCGAGCTCGAAATATAATGGTAGTGTCTTTTTGAGCTCTCCGAGCTCAAAAGTCTGATAGAAGCTTAATATAACACCATTTTTTGAATTTTTAAACTGCAAGGAATCTGGTTTCGCTAAAAGAGAGAGAAAAAAGATAGTCTGAGCCAAGCTTTCTGATTGGCTGTAAAAAATTTGATATTTTTTTGTTTCTCGTAATCAGCTGAAGCTAGTAGCAGAGTGAGAAATGAGGATTGGATTGTTAATCCAAATTCAAGAGTTGATAAAAAATTGAAATTTTTATTAAAAAAAATGAAAAAAAAAAACAAAACTATTTTCAGAATTTAATTCTACATCGAATAAGTGATTTTTCATATTTTTGTCGAAATTTTTTAGATTTATCTCTGCAAATTTACACAGGATTCTCACAAAAATTTCCGTGACAATGTAACATGGTAATGGTTACCATTCTACGTAGGAATAACATCAATTCCTTTCTCTCCGTATTCCATTATTTTGTATTGGCTTGATTAAATTTTATATTTATTGAGAATTATGGAGAATAAAATTTTCGGCAAAGAAATTCAAAAGTATATCGCGTTAC